TACTATTTTACTGTTTCTGACAGTTATATTGACTATGTTACTGTGTCAACACGGAGTTAACGGTGGTCAAAGCAAGAGTCCAGGAAAAAATAAAAAAAGTCAACGCCGCCAAAAACTATTTTTTGTCTAGAATTTTATGCATTTAAGTCTAGCCCTATGTGCGTATTTGCCATTTGTCCTTTTAATTTTTATCCTTTTGTTTTTCTTTTTTATTCAATTTTTTTTTAAGAAATCAACTACAAAATTTTCGAAATGAACTGTAAAACTTTCGAAATCTACTCTAAAATGTAGTTGTTTTTTCATTTTTTTTTCATTTCGTAGCTTTTTGGGGTTTTTTTTTCCTGAGTCAACTACCAAATTACTGAAAACGACTGTATTTTTGTTCATTTTTCCCGCATAATCAACTTTAAAAACACTGTAAAAAACAACTACGAAAAAAGTAGTTTGTAACTGCAGGTTTAGGGAAAATAAAATCAACTACAAATTACAAAACTCAACCGTAAAAATATCAAAATCAATTTCAAAATAATGAAATCAGATATAAAATTATTGAAAGCAACTAAAAATTATCGAAATCAACTAAAAATATCGAGATCAACTATATAATATTGAAAACAACTACAATTTATCAAAATCAACTACAGAACAGAACACCCCGATTGCATAAAAAATACTATATAATCGAGCGAATATAGCTACAAAAACACCATCTTTCCCAGTCTACTGGCGGAGGGCGGCAATTTATGACGGCGGTGAAGGATAATGCCACGTAAAAATATACCATCTTCCCCAATCCACGCGGAGGGGATGATTTATAGCGGCGGATGAAGGATGAGGCCGCAACGGACGTAGATCAGAAACTCACCCTCTGCAATTACAACAATTCAATTCTCCTCCCACAATTCCATGTTGAGCGCCCTAGCCAGTCGGATTACGGTGACTACTCCGATTCCAATAGTTCCCTCATATCTTCCGCAACTTTGTGGGAGAAAACATAGGGATAGAGAAAGGGGGAGGGGGTGGCGGCGGAGGCTGAGAGATTATGTGGTTTCAGATTGGAGGCGGCGATAGAACTGGTGGTATCAGAAAGAAGAAGGCAAAGAAGAGGATGCATTGGCAGGCAAAAGAGAGAAGGCCGGCACCTGCTGAGAGAAAATGGAGAGGAGAAATGTTGGCACGAAAGAAAAGAGCAAGACTTGGTAGAGATCATTAAAGGGGAGAAGATATTAGGGTTTCACAATTTTGGTAATAAGCATGTAAGGATAAATTAGGTATATTAAGTAGTAACTTGTTCAATATTTAATTGATTAAATAAATAAGGGGTTTTCATTAATAAAGAAAAAAAAAATTGGATCCATTCTTACTATATTCAATGTGTTGTGGTTTTTCAATAATAATCTCTTATTTAATTGGGAGAATTTGACTTAGGCCTATAAATTGAAGATTTGCTACAAATCAATCCATCCTTCAAATTTCATTTCAAATAAATCCACAAAAATATTAATTCACAAAATATCTCTACATATTTCTATTTAAGATGAGCTCAACCCAGCTCCATCCCATCCCACCCCATCCATCAGGTCCGGTCCAACACGGTCCACTGCTGGCGGTGAAGACCGGTCTCTCGCATTGACGACTTCTTTTTCTTTTCTTTTCTATTTTTCTGCCGTTGGTTTTCGGAGTTGACCGGTAGTCAGGTTCGATGTCCTGCGTTAACTTTTGTTTTTATCTATTTTGTATTGTCATTGATAGTTATTGTACTGTCGCTGACAGTAACTGTACTAGCGTTAACACAATAATATTACTGTCAACCACATCAATATTATTATATTTTTGATTTTTTTGATTTTGTTTAATTTGTTGACCAGTCAAGGTAATAATATTATTGTCGTTGACGGTAAAATTACTGTTAACACAATATTATTACTGTCAACCACATCAATATTATTTATATTTTGGCCTTTTTATTTTGTTTGATTTGTTGACCGATTAACATAATAGTATTACTGTCTACTATTGTAATATTATTGTAGACACAATAATATTATTGTGGTTGACGGGTAATATTACTGTCGTTACAGTAATATAACTGTGGTTGACAATAATATTGCTGTCAACCACATCAATATTAATTGTTTTGGCTTTTTATTATATTTTCCTTTGTTGAACGGTCAACATATTAATATTACTCTATTACACAATAATAGTGATTTTTGTTGTGTTAATATTGCTGTGCTAGAGAGTAATATAGCAATATTACTGTGTTAAACAGTGATATAGTGAATATTAATTAATGTGTTAAACAGTAATATAGTTAATATGATTGTCAAACGCATCAATATTACTGTTTCAACGGGTAAAAAAATGTTGAAGGAAAAAAAAAAAGACAGCGCCGCCGGAGACCGGCGTTGACCGTCGGTCAACTATTGTGGAAAAAAGGGAAAAAAAATGTAAACGGCGGAGAAGAGCAGTCAATGGCGGCGACGGGCAAAATTGTAGTCAAAATTCGGTTAGGGGTTAAAATTGAATAATTGGTGAAATTGGTGTCAAATTAAGGTTAAATTGAATAAAATGATGAAATTGGAGCATATTAAAATGTGAGGGAGTATTTTAGTGTTTTACACACCTCTGGACATTGTCTGGACATTTATGACTAACAGGGTGTTTGGCTAAGCTTATTTTAAACAGTTGATAAGCTCTAACGTCTGATAAGATGTTTTACGAGCTGATAAGTTGTTAAATACTTACATCTTATTTTTAGGATTAATTTTTAGAGTGTTTGATAATAAGCTTATTTCCTATTATTACTCATTATAAGATCTTCAATAAAAATGTGGGGTAGAGGTACTTTTTTTTAAAGATCTTATTTGCTCTTCAACGACTTGTTTTTTAAAAAATTAAAATCTTTTTTTTTTTAAATTTACCAAACACTTTGGAAGAGCTTATAAGCTCTAAAACATTTTATAAGCTCATTTTAACATTTTATAAAATTAGCCAAACACCCTCTAAGTAGCCCATGATGGGCTTATTTGTAATACCCTTTTGAAAAAGCTTGAAAAAGATAAAAGTAGCAACTTCTAATAATTTTAAAAATTCAAAAAAGAAAATGAATTAATAATAAAAATGGATAAAAAAAATCAAAATTCAAAAGAAATCAAAATTTTCGGAAATAATGAGTTTGCAATTTTTTTGAATTTTCTTGGTATCCAGTCGAAAATGAAAATTCATATCGTAAATTCAAGAAAATTAAGATTTTTTAATCTTTTTTATAGACCAATGATAAAAAGTAGACAATAGTAGATATTATAAGTGTACTTTTTGGGGAAAAAATGAAATTTTCATAAATACTTTCGATAATTAAAATCAGATTGGGAATCGAAATTTTATAAGTATTCTAGTTTTGTTCCAAAAACTTCGGGAATAAAAAAAAGGAACGAAAATTATTATTTCAAAATAAAAAATAATTGGATCAGAATCGTCGGAATTCGAAATTATTTTTCAATTTACAGCATATTCTTAATAAGTTTAAGACATTAAGATTATTAGCTTGGGTTGAGGACATTCTTACATGGGAAATTTACAGTTTTCCTCAAGTTTGTAATGATTTGACATTTGGTCCACATGTTCACAGAAAACACATTTGGTCCCTCGTGTTTCAACAATTTGACACTTTTGGTCATTTCCGTCAATTTACCACTAGTCCGTCATTTACGATAGTAATGGGCACACTTTTGATTCCGTTAGTTTTAATGGAAAATTGACGGAAATGACTAACAGTGTTGAATTTTTGAAACATAAGGGACCAATTTTTTTTTTTTTTATGAACATAGGGACCAAATGTGGAATCGATGTAAACTTGAGGGATGAAAACTGTATTTTTTCCTTCTTACATTCATAATATGTGATAGAAAAATTCGTAGTTTCGGAGCTGGAACGCAAAAATTCGAAACTCGTGCGTTGCATTTGGATCTTCAAAAAAAAAAAATATATATATATATATATATATATATATATATATATATATATATATATATATATATATATATATATATATATATATATATATATATATATATATATATATATATATATATATATTGTAATTGTTATAGTCCTTGTTTATGCACTAAGGTGGTGTTTGCAAAAGCTTATTTAAAAACAAAAGTTAGTGATTATGAGTTAAGTTCGAATTAAGTACTTATTTATAAAAGTTGGGGGTGTTTGCAAATTAGCTGGAAAATCAACTAAAATAGAAAAAGCAGGTACATGGGTGTTTTTTAAATTATAGCTTAAAACAGTTTATTTTAAGAGAAGTAAAAACAAAGGCTTGTTTTGCAAATACCTAAAAACAGATTATATGCAAAAAAAAAACTTTTAATCAATTTCTAAAAGCTTTTGGAAACACCACCTAAATAATTGAATAAGCTGCTTATAGAATTGATTTCAAATTGTTGTGTGTCTCAAATAGCATGTCAAGGCTCCAATCATTCCTTGTATAAATAGTTATGTTGGGCTAGTGAAATAAGACACAACTTTGATGATGCTAATTACTTAAATCATCTCGGGTAGTGTAGTAAACGAGCTAGGAGAGCAAAGCAGATTAATGGCTTGGCAATTTGATAATTGCATAAGTTGGGGTGATGTGTACTATAATATCACGTACCCGCTAAGGGGATTGTTTCTCTTCCTCGCACTCCGAGATATGAGATCAACTCGTGAGTTGCTGTGATTTGCTGCTTAATCATGCTTGTTAAATAGAATGACATTATTATGTTAGTATGAATACACAAGAACATGCGTGTGATATCATTTAGTGTAAGTAGTGTTACCCTTGGCGATGTAATTTGGAGTATCTTCGCTCTTTGCGCCAGTGATGAGTGGTAAGCATCTCCTCGTAATTGATTCTCCATCTATAAGAATGTGGTGAAAAGTGATTATGGAATGTTGATGTAGGTAATCTTAATAGCCCCCCAGTTTGGGTGGGACGTTTACGCACCTCGTTATGGAGTAGAAACTTCCCGAGCATGTAGAGACAGTTTTTTCAAGACGAGTGACGTGGAAGGTCGCGAAGCCTGCAGAGGTAATTGTTTGTAAGCAACTTTGTATGAGGAGGACATGGATTGTCCGACTAAGTCCATCCCCCATTGGGCGAAAGGGATGGGGCTGTCAATCGGTTGCATTAATGCCACTGGCAGATGTGGGATGTTGGCATGCTCTTGGCAAGGCTTACACCTCTGGACTAATTTCTTTGCATCTTCGTGCATCGTTGGCCAGTAGTAGCCTTGTCTCAATAGTTTGAGAGCCAAGGTTCTATCGCTCAAATAATTTCCGCAAATGCCTTCATGTACTTCTCGAAGTACGTAATTTGCTGTATTTGGGTCGAGGAACTTGAGATAGGGGAATGAGAATCCTCGTTTGTAAATTTCTTTTCCCACTATTAAGAAGCAAGCGGCTCTCGTTTTTAACTTCCATGCTTCGGTGATGTCAGTTGGAAGTTCTCCCTTCTTAAGATACTTTATGATTGGAGTGAACCGACACGGTTCGTCCTCCTCATTGTAATGCACTTCATTAGTTGAAGCTATCTCCGGTTGAGGCGAGGTGAGGAGAGTAGCCTTCCGACTTCCAATGCTTGCCATGGAGCTTCCAAGCCTAGCTAACTTGTCCGCATGGATGTTACTGGAGCGAGGCACTTGTCTTATTTCGTAGCTTTCGAACTTGGATAATAGATTTGTTGGGTTTCGGGCACGCATACGCAGCGGAAAAAAAAAATTTATGTGATTCAAACGAGTTCAAAACACATAAGAACATGCCCGATAAAATAAATTCAATTAATTGCGTACCTTTGCGCTTCCAGCGAAATTAAAAACGATTCACATGCTAATAATTTCAGCCGAATTTAAAACAGTTAACATGCTCGCGTTTAAACCAAATAACATGCTTGCAATGATTTAATCGATTACACATAATCACATAAAATCATACAAAGCAAAACATGAAATCATAGATTAAACGAAACTCAAAAACGAAACTAGGGTTTCGTGTGTTTACCTCTTGAAGCGTGAGGTAGGGGCGATTAGCACGTCGTGATTACTACGGAAACCAATCCGTAGAATCGGGGCAGCAATTGAGCAGGAGCAGCGGCGGTGTACGGCCACGGCGGCGCGTGAGCTTCACGCGCGGACTTCCGGGGCGGCGCGTGGGGCAGCGTGCGGCTTCGGCTCGTGCGTTGCTCCTTGGTTCTTCGATCTACGATCTTCCTCCTCTCGGATTTCACCTCGTATACTTCGATCTACTAAAACGTGGCACTAGACACGAAGTAGTTAGAATTAACGGAAGAAAAAGAAAGGAGAAAAGAATACCGAAATGGATCGGCCAAGGGATGGCCGATTCCGGCGACGGGGCGGCGCCAACGGCGGAGGTGGCCGCGCGGGAGAGGGGGCGAGAGAGAGAGGTGGACGGCCGCTAGGGTTAGGGTTTGTTGTTTTGTGCAAGGTCTATAAATCATGTATTTATAGTCCCTTGCATAAAACCCTAGCGGGCTTAAGTTGGACTGGGCCCAACAGCTTAAGCTCGTTAGTTCCTTTACTTGCTCGTCTCTCTCAATTCAATGACCGAAAAATTGCAACGATTACATTTTCGGAATCATTATAACTTCCTCGTCATTACGAGTGCCATCTCTTGTTTTCCAACTTTCCAAAAGTGGAAACCCTAGTTCAGTGGACTTTCTAAATTTGGAAACTTCCCGATTTAGAAAGTTCACTAACACGTTCGCCTATTCTTTTCCTTTTCTTATTCTCATTCATAATTCCAAATTATGAATGTTGGACTCAATCATATTGACTTCCAATCATGCAAAGATAAACTATTTTATCTCTGACCGTTTATTCAAAGATCTCATGTGCACGAGCAGTGTGACCCTCGATGGTTCAGGTGTAAGCTAGCCGTGGGCCCACAACCCTTTGTGGTTAAAACTCGTCCCCTTCGAGTTACGATTAAGATGAAGCTCGTTTCACCTTAATCACCCAACGAATCAAGATTGGCGTCTAGCAACTACGCGTCATGATTCCCTAGATACAAATGAAGTGCCTGCAAGAACCTTCAGATATAGTTAACGTACAGTACGGTCCCTTCGATTCATATGTCCCGATCGAACTAGAGGCATTGGTTCATCGAGACCTCTTTATATGTTCGATAACGGTGCGATCGTTCTAAGTGTTGTAATCCTTACGTGCATGACTTAGAGAATCGAATTCTCTAATCATCACTTAGTCAGCTCTGGCCAGAGACTTAGAATGATTACAAACTTTCAGAACACACAGGACATCCAAGACTATTCTGGCGATCGAATCCCCGACTACAATGCACAGACCTCCCACTAGATTTCGGACTGCACGAACACTGGCCCTTGGGATGGTCCTCGGTGGAACTCAGGGACAGGTCACGATACAGCTGGTCCTCTAGTGAAGTCACGGTGATGTCTAGGTCATAAGGACTAATGGTGTACAACTATACCATAGATATCTCTACTCGATTATTGGGAACCACTTAGAGATTTCTAGGGTGAGGGAGTTCAGTGAACTCGTCAACTTACGAGCACCCACTTATGCATGCCGATATCACAATACCGTTTACTGATGAGATGCAGTACACATACACTAAGTGCTAGTCTTAATGGGAAAGGCCGATATCCTCATTAGTGGCGTAACCCTTCGACTAGGAACATGTTTAACAGTTATAATACTTAAGTAAATATCTCACGATCCCAACGATCAATTACTAGTACTTGTAATAACTGTAAGGACTATATCTATGCTTGTGACAAAGGGACAAAGATATAGAATGCCAAGGTGTTTTATCATTAATACGAATAAAGGTTCGTTTATTACCATAATAAATACGAAAGACCACAGCCACAAGTTGGCTTGTTGGTCACCTACTCTAACAAGATTGTGTGTGAGAGCTAAGTATTTGGCCATGTAGTCTTCTTTGGCCTCGTAAGTTCCGAGTACCTGGTTAACGACGAGCTGAGAGTTGCTTTGTATTAGGAGCTTACGCGCTCCAGCTACTAGGACGAGGCGGATCCCAGCTATCAAGGCTTCATATTCAGCGACATTGTTTGAGGCTATGAATTCGAATCGTTGAGCATATTCGAATTCATCTGCGTTGGGGTTCGTTAGTACGATACCCGTGCCACCTCCTATGGCTGTAGAAGATCCATCAACGCTGACGAACCAAGTGGGGATGGAGGTGCTCTCTACTACTGCGGTCATTTCGACTAAGAAGCCGGCCAATACTTGCGCCTTGATGGCGGGGCGGGGTTTGAATTCTACCCCGTATTCACTGAGTTCTATTGCCCATTTGGCTAACCGCCCGGATGTCTTGGGACTCCTTAATATCTGCTTCAGGGGGTAATTGGTGAGGACCACCACTTGATGTGATTGAAAATAAGGTCGGAGCTTCCGACCTGCGTTGATGAGGGCGAGGGCGAGCTTCTCCATATTGGTATAGCGTTGTTCGGCTCCTTGGAGAGCGCGACTTATGTAGTATATGGGCTGGTGGCCTTTTCCTCCATCCCGGATGAGGACTGCGGTGATGGCATCAGCTGAGGTAGCTAAGTACAGGAGAAGGGTGTCTCCGGGCTGAGGTTATGTGAGCAAGGGTGGTGATGCGAGATATGACTTCAGCTCGACGAAAGCCTTTTGAAAAGCTTCACCCCCATTCAAACTTCTTCCCTCCTCTTTAAATCTTGAAGAAGGGGAGAGCTCTGTCCACTGATCTTGAAATGAATATGTTCAAAGATGCCAGGCAACCGTTAAGCTGTTGGACTTTCTTGATCGATGTTGGTGGAGCCATGGAGGTGATGGCTTCGATTTTTGTGGGATTAGCTTCGATCCCTCGCTGCGAAATCATATATCCCCAAAATTTCCCTCCCCGAACTCCGAACGAACATTTGAGGGGGTTTAGTTTTATCTTATATTTTCGCAGGATGGCGAAATATTGATCCAAATTGGTTAAGTGGTCCGAGACCTTGACACTTTTGACGAGCATGTCGTCGATGTACACCTCCATATTCTTGCCGATTTGGTCTGCGAACATTGTGTTCACTCGACGTTGGTAAGTGGTTCCCGCGTTTTTTAATCCGAAAGGCATGACTTGGTAGTAGTAGATGCCTTGATCGGTGACGAAGCTGACCCTCTCTTGATATTCTGGGGCGAGCAAGATTTGATTGTTTCCTTGATATGCGTCAAGGAAGCTGAGGAGCTCGCATCCCGAGGTCGAATTGATGAGCTGGTCGATTATAGGTAAAGGAAAGGGGTCCTTCCGGCAAGCTCTGTTGAGGTCGGTGAAGTCCACGCATAACCTCCACTTGCCACCGGGCTTGGGAATGAGTACTACGTTCGACAACCATTCAGGATACTGAACTGGTCGTATATGACCTGCCTCTAAAAGTTTTGCCACTTCCGCCTTGATATGTTTTTTGCGTTCGGGACCAAATGTCCGCTTCCTTTGTTTGATCGGCTTCAACCTTTTGTCGACGTTGAGCCGATGTAGAGCTACCTGAGGGGGAATGCCCGACAAATCTTGGCCTTTCCAAGCGAACACATCTCCATTGTGTCGCAGGAAGTTGATTAGTTGTTGCTTCATCTCTGTTTCTAGATCGGATCCGATGCGTAGGAGCTTGGAATCATCTCCAGGTGTAAGCTCTATGAGCTCAAGCTCTTCGACGGCCGCTAGCTTAATGCTATCGTCTGGTACGCTGATGAGGATTTCTCTATCGTCCTCGATGATCGCGTAGACCCATTACTGTTTGTCGGGTTTTTGGGTGTCGTCTCCCCTTCCGGACGGTTTGGGCTTCTTGGATGGTTCTCGTAGGGCTCTCTCATAACACTCTCGAGCGAGACGTCTATCTCCAAGTACCTCCCCCATTCCATAAGAGTGGGGAATTTCCACTTTTGGTGGTAGGATGAAGGCACTGACTTGAATGTATGGATTGCTGGCCTCCCTAGGATGATGTTGTAGGGGGACGGCTTGTCGACGATGAAGAATTTTATCATCTTGGTAATTCGACAAAGGGCTGTCCCCCAAGGAGATGGGCAACTCCACTTCTCCCATGGATAAAACGCCCTCCCCAGTGAATCCTTTTAGCGGTGTAGTGATGGGGCTAAATCGGGCGTTATCTATGCCCAGTTGCTTGAATGAATGGAGATACATGATGTCTGCGGAGCTTCTACCGTCCACTAAGATCTTCTTAACCAAAACGTTGGCTACCGATGATGTGACTACCAATGCGTCGACATGGTCTTCGTCGGGGCCTTCGAGGTCCGAGGAGTCGAAGACTATGCTATGATTAGGTCTTCATATCTGATAGATAGATGCGGATGGAGAGACGTGCTCTTGATTCCTACGTGCTGACCAAGCGAGGGAGCGTCTCGCATTTTGAGATTCGCCACCCGCCAGTCCTCCGGAGATAAAGGCAATGACTCCCCGGGTGGGTTGATTATCATTGTTATCTTGTTCGCGTCGATGAGCTCCCTCATCTCGTCGTTGCGGTTGATCTCGATTGTTATCTCGGCGTGGGAGGTCATCACGGCGCTTGTTTCGAGGCTTGTTGATGTATTTGCCTAAGTGGCCCTGCTTGATTAACTTCTGAGTTGCTAATTTGAGTTGTGCACTGTTTAGTGTAGATTTTACGCTCAATATGTTTACCTTACGTGGATCTTTTGTTTAGATTTAATTATATTTGTGCTTTAATTGATTGATTTTGTGTTTTATAGGTGAAAAACGAGAATTAGGTGTCCATGAAGGAAAAAATATCAAAAAGAAAAGAAAAAGTTGCAAATAAGGAAACAAATCAAATTGGAAGAAGGAATCTCGCCACAGCTTTGACAGTGTCCACCATTTCGAGCATATCTCTCTCATACAAACTCCGAATTAGGTGATTTTGACGGCATCGGAAAGCTAATTTCAAGGGCTACAATTCTTATTTACACAACAGACCAAAAATCGGACTCCAATATGGCACAAATCGACGAACAAATCCTGACGGGGGAAAGTGGCGGAAATTGATTCCTATTGGCTATTAGGTTTCCACTACTTCCTTATCAAGAAAAGCCTATAAAAGCAACAAGTCTCTACACCATAAGCACGAAATTTTACATCACAAAATGCGAAGAACGAAGATCAACGAATACTCAAGCATAGTTTTTCTTATTTATTTTATTCATTCTATTTTGCTTACATAAGAATTACGAGTAGCTAAGTTTTTAATCTAGGATTCTGTTGGAACCCTATGTGGTGATTCGAACCTATTTTTCTAATATTATGCAAGTTTAATTTCCTTGATTACTTCTTCTATATTGATCTTATTTAGCGCATGAACGTAGCTAATTTATGTTGCTATCTGTTATTGTTAGAATTGATTGACAAATCGTTTTAATAATTAGAACTAGGATAGGAGAGCCTTCGAGTAGTTTTCACCGGATGAGTGTGTTAATTGCATGTGTTATCGTAGACATACAGATAATACCTTAGGTAGCCGTTTTCGAGACTTGTTATTTAATGCTTTATTCATACTAGGTTTGCATAGACATATAGTGAATCGTTTATGAATAATAGACTCATAATACACGCGACAGCGGGTTATGAGTAATTTCGTGTCTTGGGTTAATAATCGGGAATCGTAACTTGCATGATAGAGGTTTAATTGGGTGATGAATTACCGCATAGGGGGAAGATAAAATCCTAGATCCGTTTTTATATTGATATTTTCTCGTGATTATTTGCTTTCTTGATTAGTTTAATTGTTTAATTGATTTAATTTGACAAACTTGCGTAGGCTGGATAAAAATCATAATTGTTAGAATTTGGTACTTAGGACTAGATAATTTGAGTATTCCCTGTGGGATCGACATCCGACTCTCACGAGTCCACTTTTACTACTTGTTTGCGATACGTGCACTTGCGTGTTAGGTATTCAGCCCCAACATGCACATTCATCGGTAGTATGTCCTCTATCCTTATGGAAGCGACAGTAGCGATCCGATTTTTCTCGTTTCGCATTGGGTTGCATTGGGCATGGAGGTTCTGCTAGACCTCTTTGTTCTATCACATGAGGATTTCAGTGAGGCGGGTGTTTAGCGGAGTGAATCGATTGTAGGAGGACGACGATTGGCCTTGAGGTGGGGGTGGTGGACGTCGATCGACCCGTCTCCTGACATCTTGTCGGTCCTCTTCCCTATTCCTCTTGCGAAGAGCATGGGTAGAGGCTTCCTCTATTTGCACGTATTTCTCTGCTCGGTTCAAAAACTCCTCTAGGTTGCCTGGAGGCCTTCCGGCAATAGATTGTTTGAACCTACCTGACTTCAAGTTTTGTTGCATGATCCCGTAGAGCATGTCTTGTCCTACGCTTGGGACTTCGTGGACGGCTTCCACAAAATGCTTGATGTAGTTGCAGAGCGTTTCGTTGTCTCTATGTACTACAGACAAAAGGTGTGCTGGGGTCTTGGCATATTGTTTGTTGATGGCGAATTGGTTGGTGAAGCGTTGCGACAACCGAGAGAAGGTGTCGATCAATCTTGTATGTAGAGAGTTGAACCAACTCATGGCCCGCTTGGAGAGAGTGGTGCGGAAAATTTTGCTCATTGCGGCATCTGTTGGGCCATACAAATCTACCATGGCGTGGAATTTCTCTATGTGTTCTTGTGGGTCGGTGGTTCCTTCAAACTGAGGTAACCCTGAGATCTTCACTCCTTGAGGTAATACCTCGTTGAGAATGTCCATGGTGAAAGGACTGCGTCTTACTGGGGCATTCATTCTTCGGCCAATTGGATTGTTCAATTGGGGGAATGAAACTTGGCGAGACATTCTGCTGCTTACCTCGCCTTCTCCCTCATTAAAGAGATGGACTCTCTGTGGAGACGCATTACCCCGTGGAGGTGAGCGTTGACGTTGCTGTCTGGGCTGTGCCCCCCTGTGATTGGTGGATAGTTGCATCTGGGACCGTGGATCCGAGGTGGATGAGGAGACGCTTATTTGGTTCTGGATTGGCGGTGGTGCCATGGGTGGTACCACAGGTGGAGCAGGTGCTGGTATCGCGTTGGGAGCATTTGCTCCCATCGTGGCGATATATTGGGTCACGGCCTCTGTAGCGGCGCGAGTTGAGGCTTCTGCTATCATGCGTTGGAACGCATCCTCGGTTATCTGAACCGTTCGGGGAGCACAGAGTGGCGGATCGGCGAGTGGTGGGTCCCGAGGGGGAATCACCTGAACCTCGCGAGACGAATCCGGAGCAAGTGGAGGAGATGGCAAGCCAGAGCCTCCGTGGGTTGGGAGGTTGTTAGCTGTGTCATTCTCTCTCCGAGCGGATGCCTCGGGAGGATCTTGTTGGCTAGGTGATGTGGTTTGCATTTTCCCACAGACGGCGCCAAAATTATGATGCTAATTACTTAGATCACCTGGGGTAGTGTAATAAACGAGCTAGGAGAGCAAAGCGGATCAGTGGCTTAGCAATTTGATGATCCTGAGGTCCCTGCAAAATGAACACACGTGAACTAAGCCGGGGGTTGATCCGGCGGAAACCCCTCCGATGCTCAAGTAAGAAGTACGGATCGTGGAGATGGTAGAGAGAATATGCACTCTAGAATACTTGTGAATAATAGAACTTACCTTAACAAATGAGTAAAAACCTCTATTTATATGTCGTTGATTGGATTGGGTTTACTTTGTTGGGCCCAAGCCTTATTTTGAAGGTGTTTGGACTTTTGTGTAGTGGGCCCAATTATGTGCTTAATCGTTTGATATGTTTAATTGGTACGTAGTTGAGCTTTATGGATATCGATATTTATATTTTTTGGATATGTTGGTTGTATATTGATATGTATTTTGTTTTGGGTATGTTCATATTTTAACTATTATGTTGTCGAAATTGTGGCTTAACTTGTGTACTTATAATCTTTTTCAGGCTGATTTGGAGAGAGTTTATGAAGAGTCTTTGCAAGACGGAAGCGATGAAAGCACATCCAACTCTGATGATGCTAATTACTTACATCACCTAGGGCAGTGTGGTAAACGAGTTAGGAGAGCAAAGCGGATCAGTAGGTTGCCAATTTGATGATCCTGAGGTCCCTGCGAAATGAACACACGTGAACTAAGATGGGGGTTGATCCGGCGGAAACCCCTCCGATGCTCAAGTCAGATGTACGAATCGTGGAGATGGTAGAGAGAATAAGCACTCTAGATTACTTGTGAATAATAGAACGTACCTTAACAAATAAGTAAATACCTCTATTTATATGTGTTGATTGGGTTGGGTTTACTTTGTTGGGCCCAAGCCTTATTTTGAAGGTGTTTGGGCTTTCGTGTTGTGGGCCCAAATATTAGACAAATTTAGGGGCCCATTGGATCGGCCCAATTAAGTATATCAAACTTTAATTAGCAAATCGATATTCTCTCCCTGTCGTTTACATTCTTCTCTTACTTTCAGCCTTTAATTATAGGACACATTACAAATACGCCCTTCATGAATACTTATTTATAAAGAGGTCTAGATAAAAAACTATTTTACATAAAAGTCCAGACATTGTCCAGAGGCGTTTAAAAGACTAAAATACCCCCTCACATTTTAATATGCTCCAATTTTATCATTTAATTCGATTTAACCTCAATTTGACCCCATATTTCACTACTTATTCAATTTTGATCCAAAACTCAATTTTGAGTACAATTTCACCCGTCGTCGCCGTTGACCGCCAGTCCCTGGCGCTGACTTTTTTTCACTACTGTTTAACACAATAATATTAACTATACCACAGTTTTACACAGTAATATTGTTATATTACTCTCCAGCACAATAATATTACCATAACAAAACTCACTATTATTGTGTAATAGAGTAATATTAATATGTTAAAGGTGAAAAGAGTCAATATTGATGTGGTTGACAGTAATATTAATGTCATCCACAGTAATATTATTGTAACGACAGTAATAATACCGTCAACCACAATAGTATTATTGTGTTTATAGTAAGTATACAGTAATATTATTAGGTTAATTGGTCAACAAATCAATCAAAACAAAAATGTCAAAAACAAAATTAATATTGATGTGGTTGACAGTAATATTATTGAAATATTATTGTGCTTACACTAGTTTTATCGTCAACGACAGTAATATAATTATGTTGACTTGTCAACAAATTGAACAAAATAAAAATAAAAAGCCAAAAAAAATAATAATATTGTTGTCGTTGGCAGTATTGTACTGTCAACGAAAGTACAATTACTGTGAGCGACAATATTATTACTGTTAATGACTATACAATTACTGTCAACATTCAACGGGGGGTTTAAAAAAAGGGATAAAATTTTTAGGGAAAAAAAAGTCAATGATCGGAAACCGGTGTAAAAAGAAAAATCAGAAGAAAAAAAAGTCAAATTTGTATTTTTGTGGTCAAAATTGATTAATGTGAAGTTAAATTGAGATTACAATTATGAATTTGGTTTAAAATGTTGGGGGTAAGTTTTGTCCGTTTTACCCTTCTGTTATTTTAAAAACAATAAAGGGTGACGCTCTAATAACGGCTTAATATGACGCTATTAGAAAAATAGACTTTTGTGACGCTCTAATAACGGCTTAATATGACGCTATTAGAAAGGCGTATCAATAACTATACAATTATGACGCCTTAAACTAGAAATGCGGTACTTTGGTCCCGTGAATTTATTATTCCTTTTTTTATTTATCAAAATTTATATTTTGTGACGCTTTCAACTAAAGGTGCCATAAAATAACGGCACTATAGCGACACTTCTTGTAGGGCGTCATAACATATTTATATTAATTATATAATTCTTTATCAATTAAAAAAAAAAGAAAAAAAAAAAGAAGAAAAACGTAGAATTAGCGCTCAGTGTTCACCGAAATAATTCAGATTCATTTTCACCAAACATTATATTCACCAAAAATTATCATAACCCTTCAATTCCCTCTCAATTTTCTCTTAAACCCTTCTATCCCATTTTTCTCTTCTTCTGCCAATTTAGTTTTCTCATAACGCCGCTGCAAATGGATGCCCTATTCTCAACCTTTTGCACAACTGCGCTCTCTAATCCGACGAAGATGACATGTACGCGAGTTTTTACATAGTAACCCCATCGAGGTACAACTAAATTGTTGTTGTTATGATTTTGTTTTTTTGCTAGGGTTTTAATTTTGGCCCGCCGAAAGCTGAGATACCAGAGGTTGATTTCAATCTTTTGAGATGGAAGAAAAGAAAAGAAAAGAAAAAGAAAACCCTATTTTTCTATAATTGAAATTGAGTAGTGCTCATATGATTCGTGGGACTCAAAATTAATTAGGTATTTATACATGTCTTTGGTGTTTACGAATTACAAAAATGATTTTAACTGTGATTTTATTTTTCTTATGATGCCCTAGTGTGGAATCTCTCAATTTGTGTAAGGTGCGATGTCTATGTGGCTTCAGCACTTTTTTATTTCTTTAAATAGTTAACTTCTATATTTGATAGAATAAGAATATTTTGTCTTTTAATATTAGCTATAATGTGTTATATTGTAGAATAATCCATGCCCCTGCTGTTTGTTTGTTTCTTTGTTAATAGGGGGGGCAGGACTGCGGCTAGAGCTGGCTAATGTTGTTAAGAATTGATGAGCTAAAATTTGTTCATGTTGAAAATCTGAAGATATGATTTTGTGTGTGTATGTATGTGTTTGTATGCATGAACAAAATTGGTTTCTTTTATAGGTTTTGGTATAAAATGGACTGATTTGGTGCAATGGTGGTTAAGAAAAATCGTGTATTAGTTTTATGTGCTTTATGCATGTTATTTACAGTAGAGACACTGAGACCATGATATTTTTGGTTTATAATAGTTGATTTGAAATAAAAAAAATTATGAGACCTGAGATTTGCTTGGGTCATTTAATTTGTGATGATATATATCCATACAAGAAAGCAAACTTTGTTCAGCAAGAGAATGCGGAAATGTACCTTGATGTCGAATTGATGGTATGAATTGAAGTTCATCTTCTCATTTTATTATAATTGACGTTCAATTATTAAAAGAGATTTATTTTTAATATGACTATTCATTTTTCCTTAATTTATTTGACTCTCCTAATAGGTAATCATAGAAGAAAGCTTTCGAGGTCAAGAGATTATGAATTTCATGATTGACAACTTCCGAGGTATGATGTAGACTTTATGTTTTATATAATCTACCATTTTTTGTTATAGAATTTTGTAAGTTATCATTACAAGCTATATAAATGGGAAAATTAAACACATGAAATTTGCAGGACCTTAATTGCTTTTAATTTTTATTCTTTTAACCTGAAGAAGATGAGTTAACCAATCTCTTCGTAAAGATTAGAGTTATCCATAAACTTATTCATTTGCTATCTACTGACCAGTTGAATATGTTCGATCTTTCTAATCAAATGAATGTATCCATCGTGGGCGTCTTGACCTAAAGGTTGGGTACCTGTTTATTGGATGTTACTCATATTAGCCTTATAAAAATGAGATTTTATAAAAATATCTCAGAGGTCCTATTACACAACCTCTTCGGGTTTATTTTGTAAGTTATTTAATTTATGTGCTTTTAATCTAAAGTTTTAGTATTTTTCGATTACAGATGTGAAATATTGGTTACTTTATTCATTTATAATGTGATAATTATTTTGCAGTAATGGGAAGCGCAAAAAGATAGTCGGTTAAGTTACTTGGTCGTATTACTCAGTATTGATCTCTTATTAAACGCTCTTACATTTAGATTTTTTATTTATTTGAATTCCACTGATATCTGATTATTTTAATAGGTTACTATGGATCCATAAACAATACCGAAGAAAATTTTGCAAGCAGTTTTATGGGCAAGTCGTACATTGGTATGCATATTTGAAGATTGTTTTCCAGTGTAGATTATCATGAATTAAATCTTAGAAGTTTCTTTTTACAAGAATTGAAAAAGTCCAGGTGTGTTAGTTTTGCATGAGAATATTAAGTGGAGATATTTTATTCTCTAGATATTGGGATGC